CTGCTCCCGTAAAGATTTACAGCCTTGGAAACCTTATACAGGGTCGCTATGAGTCGGAACTGACTCCACGGCACACAGCCATCACCACCAGAGATCAAAGAAGAGAGAAGCAAGCAGAGAAAGAGGGACCCACTTACTACCATAGAAGAATCAGGAATGGAGCTCATCTTTTGAATTCAGGTGTCCTGTGCTAGGAACCTCCTAGATCCAGGGGAAGATTGATGCCAAAATACATTGAGATCTCCAAGGTGTACTGGGCCTACAAATGCTTAAAGGAGACAAGGATCTTCCTCCTAAACTCTAAGCTGGCAGAGACAGCCTTCCCTAGAGTTGATACAGTGAACTCTGACTGCTAGCCTCTTAAATTGTGAGAGAATAAATTTGTTTGTTAAAGCCATCTATTTGTGGTATCTTGGTTATAGCAGCACTAGATAATTAAAGAAGACACCATAGATTTAAGACAGTCTTTGTTTCCTACAGCCTTTAAAACAAAATCCCATAAAGAGATGGCCTTACAGAAGGGAAATTTATTGTCTCAATGTAGACTTTGGGAGACGAGTTTGGAATAAGGGTATCAAGTATCAAATGTGGATTCCTGCTGAAGGTTCTAATCCATGCCTCTCTCCTAGCTTCTAGCAGCTGCTGGTAATCTTTGGCATTCTTTTTGTTGCTTGTATATGTGTTTTCACACAGCGCCGTTCAGGAATTTCACATGGTGCCTATCTGTGATTCTGCCACCTGTGTCTGTTTTTCCCTTTTGTAAGACACCATTCAGAAGGGGTTAGGATTAGGGTTCTCCCCATTTGGCTGTTAACTGAAAGGTTGATGATTCAAACTCACCATCCACATCCACTACACAGGAGGAAGATGTGACCATCTGCTTAAAGCCTTGGAAACCCTATGGGGCAGTTCTACCCTGTCCTACATGGTCCCTGTGAGTTGGAATTGACTTGATCGCAGTGGGTTGGGTTTGGTATGATCTTATTAATTCAGTCAATAATATCTTTAACAAACAAACAAACAAAACTTATTTCTCTAAATAAGGCTTACACTAGGGATAAAAGACCTCAGACTCGAACATGTTACACAGAGACATTTTTATTAGGACAAAGACAGTCACCTGCCTAAAGGAGACAGTCAGTATGTATGTATGTACCCAGTACAGGGGGGCATGGATTCTGCTGAATCACAATCATGATGTCCATTATATACCATTGTTGTTGTTGTGTGCCGTGGAGTCGGTTTCGACTCATAGCGACCCTGTACAGGGTTTCTGAGGTTATAAATCTCTACAGGAGCAGAAAGCCTCATCTTTCTCCCGCGGAACAGCTGGTAGTTTCGAACTGCTGACCTTGAGGTTCGCAGCCCAATTCGTAACCACTACGCTAGAACCCAGAAAATCATCATGAAACCAGGACTGGTATCACTGTCACAAGTGAGACTACAAGAGGCCAAGCAAGGACCCTGAGTGGGATACATACATAATTACAGGTGAAAAAGCTACAGGATGGGTTCTGGAGTTATGTGGTGGCTGAGATTGACTCATAATCATGTGACTGTGAGTCATAGTCACAAGACAGATTTTCCTGGTAACTTGCTATAAAAATTGCTTTCTCACTCATGCCTGTTCCTCAGATTCCACTGTAAAGATTTATCGATCATACTGTGCATTAAGATCCTTCCAGCACAAACTATGGAATCTTGCATCTGTTTGACCATACAGGAAAGACCTTCTGGAATAGACTGAGACATGCTCTCTACGAGACAAAGAACGTTGCCTTTGGGGCATACGGTTAGGTCAGCACAAAGGCAGAGGAATTGCTGTTAGAATAGGCAACTTTAAAATTCAACATGCATTTTAGACTTATGTCAAAACTTTAAGATAGAGTTGAGGCTCCACTTTTAGACTGCTGTATTGGAGCCCTGGTGTGGTGTTGTAGGATGAGTACTGGACTGCTAACCTAAAAGTCGGCAGTTAAAACCCACCAGCCACTCCTTGAAAACTCTAATCAGAATCACTATGAGTTGAAATCTACTCAATGGCATTTAACAACAACAACAATGTACACATACCAAGTGCCTCTGGTGCTAGATTTTCATAAGGTCACATTTACAGAAACAACATGTTTTTTTTTGGGGATACAATACAATCCATAACAGACACTAATAACACACATCCTTGGCAGAATGCATTTCACAACTCCTCCAAACTCACCTAAAAGACCCTGGCTTTATGTGGGCTATTTTTCCAGCTTTCCTTAGAATGCTGCTAAAATTGCCATCTTCAAATTACCTATGACTTTCGTCTTCTTCCATAGAATCCATCTGGTCCCCGAGTCCCACCCCTGGGCTGCTGGACATGCTGCTCAGGTACTCAGCACAAATCCCTGTCTGTCTGGAAGGTCTGGCTCCACCTCACTAGGAGTGGGTAATATGTGGCCTTCACAAGCCCAATTTCACCTCTTGCACAATTAGTGGGTCTCAGATTTCAGTGGAGTTAACCCCACCTCCCCCTCTAGGCATGAACTCTAATTGTTTTCATTCAGAGGAATCCCTTCGTCCTTGGCTTAGTTTAGGAAAGTTGTGTCATCTAAGGAGCTCCAATCAAATTGAAACCAAGACTTTAGTTACAAGAATTTGGGTGGGAGACACCAGCTTTCCTCTCCTGTATATACGTAAGGAAGCACTTGGTCTTGAAGTCAGCTTAGTTCCATGAGGAAATGGAGTCATGGGCCATGGAGAAAGTCTTCACAGGTGCCCTGGTTGATCAGGACCCAATCCCCCTCTGCATAGTTCAGTTGTATGAGGCAGCAAAAATCCCTTTGTTTCTTAGTAACTGGAGTTGGATTTTCTGTTACTTACAACTAAAAATATCTTAACCAACATACCAAACCACCTCAGACCCCAGGAAGTGACTCCCTCCTAAAGAAGAATAGGGTGGGCTTCCCTCAAGGACCCGGAGCCAAGTCTTCTCGTTTCTGGCTATCCTTTCTCCTGTGGGCATCCAGGTTCCATTTCTGGTGACCTTTCTTTTCTTCTTCTTCTTTTTAAATAACTCAGAATTCATTTGAATTTTAACTGAAATCTTATTCTATGTAAGCAATACACATCCACAAATTAGACAGTTAAATAGTTTTTAAAAGAGAAAGATAAACTCCACCCTATTCTTTGTCCATTCTTTTAGTCGTTTCTTTTGGTATTTAGGGTTTGTTTGTTTGCTAATAATATGCTTATCCAATTTTATGTCATGTTTCTGGCTTTAGTTATTACGTATTTTCTGTGATGGCAGAAGAGACCCAAGGTTTCTTATATTTCTTCCTTACATACACACACATTCTCTCCCCTCACTCCCTGAAAGAAGGTATCTCACAGTATTTTACTACTTACATTAGTCTCTATGTGAATATTATTTATTTACACTTGAGTCATGTAGTGTACTATGGTTACATTTAATCTCTATACAACAGCTTTTCCCCAGCATTTAATAATTGCACTGTCTTTTCATCTGCTCAATTGTCTATGTATTTATCACTAATTCACCCCAAGCTCTTCAACAGACATAGAAATCCATCTCAGCATTTCTTGTTTTTCTTGGTGACATCTTTCCTGAGTCCTCCGAGATTCTCACTCCTATGAGGACAAGTTGTTCTTTAGGGTGCCACACACCAACATCCTGAGAATTCTCTTTGCTGTTCTCCTGTATTAGATTCCTCCTTTGGTAGACACAATGTTTTCCTCTGTCTTGTGTTTAATCTCTTATTTTTGGGGATTATCCAGTAGCTTCCTGAAAAAAAGTACAATGGAGATAAAAATGTTTAATATCTGAAATGGTCTGCCAGCTGTTAACAAAATTTTAGGGATACAAGCACCTCTGTAATTTGCCCTCCATCACCCCATTTTTACTGAGTGCTGAGCCCCAAAGCCATCACATTTATTTATTCTGACATCCATTCCAGTAGGGAGTTCTGGTGTGGATCTGTAAGATCAGCACTGGACTGCTAACTGTAAGGTTAGTGGTTCAAACCCACCAGGCACTCCCGATACAGGGTTGCTATGTGTCAGCACTGATTTGAAAACACTTAACAACAACAACATCCTAGTAAACTAGCTGACAGAAGTGAGAACTTCAGGAAATCTAGCCAACTGAACATTTCAGGAGTGAAACTGAGATACCCATCCATGTCCCCTCTCCTGCCCTGTATCTCACAAGTCCTCTATTCCCAGGAGTAAGGCCTGGGTCCACTCCCTACTCTTCTTGTCCTTCCTTGTTGTTATGTGTCGTGGAGTCGGTTCCGATGCATAGTGACCCTATACAGGGTTGTTCTTCCTAATCCCCTAGAAAGAGAGAGGCAAAGAACACTCTTGCTTCCAGTGTGCTAGAGTCCTTCCCCCAGTATAACATGATATCCCATTACTCAGCAATCTCTTGCCTTAACCCTTTCCCATTTTTCTCTGCTTCTGTTTGGGGCCATTACTCTGCTCTGTGACCAGGCAGCCTTCCAGAATCCTTAGGTAACACTTCTTATCTGCTCTGAGTCCTGCAGTTGCTTTGTTTACTGACTATTTCCCAAGGGACTGAGAAAGGAAGGGGAGGTGGAGAATCTGGGAATATTGGGGCTGTCTTAAAGTTATAAATTTAGAATCATTTGTGGACCAGGGGTCTGGTACAGTTGAATAAACTAGCATCCACCAAATTTAGCATTTTCCCCCAATCTGACATTTCAAAATGCAAGACTGTAATAGGGAGTTTTCCTCCTACATTCCTCATAAACTCAACCATTGAAAATACAGCTAGTGAAAAATTTGAAATAAGTCTTATTAACAAAAAGTCATGGTTAACACACAAGCCACCACAGTATGACAAACTGAGAGTTGAGAGGTGGCACAGTCAATGAGACACTTGGAATTGACAAAATGATATAAATACAAGGCCACTTGGAGGCCATATGTCAGTGAAAGTGGACACACATACTCAAGAGCAGGCCTCACCTAATGATGTCTTATACTCTTGTTTCCTTTTCCGACCGCACACAAACAGGAAATTGGAAGTTGGTCTTTATCATATGTGGATGACCTTTGCTGAGAATGGCCCTCAGTCTGTCCTGAAAATTCTCTCCAGCAAAGTAATAAAGCAAAGGATTCAGGCAGGTATTGGCTGCAGCCAATGTCAGTGTGATGACCACAGCTTTATGGAGCGAGGCTTTGCATGTTTGCCACACAGCCAGATGGAGGGTTCTTAGTATGTGATACGGCAGGAAACACAAGAAGAAGATGATCAAGGAGATGATGATGGTGGTCAGTGCCTTCCTATGAGAAATCCTGGGGCCTGATTCTGGGACCTCCACCTTCAGCAGAGTTCGAATGATCAGTAGGTAACAGATGCTCAGAGTGCAGAATGGCAATAAGAAGCCCATCACTAAGGTGATGTGGTTCAGGATCTGCAGTTTATCAGCTTTATTGTTATTCAGCTCTAAGCATAAAGTAACATTGTTCTTCTGAGCCTCACTGTTCAGAAGCACTGCTAAGGGAATCACGATAAGAATCCAGATGACCCCACATAGGACCCAGGCACTCCTAATGCTGGTGATATGAAGGAGCCGGAAGGGGTGAACAGTTGCCAGGAAACGCACAACACTCAGCACAGTCAGGAAATAAATGCTGCTGTACATATTGGCATACATGGAATAAGACATGATCCTGCAGGCCAAGTCCCCAAATATCCAATTGGAGCCTCTGAGGTAGTAGTCGACCCTGAAAGGCAGTGTGGTTGTGAACAGCAGATCAGAAATGGCCAAGTTTAACATGAAAATATTCACAGGTGTGGACTTCTTATAAGGCTGCAGGAAAACAAATATGGAAAAGCCATTTCCCAAGGCTCCCCAGATGAAGATGATCAGGTACATGACAGGGTAAAATTCTCTCTTAAAATTGTCAATTATGCAGCTACTGTTGTTGCTGAAGTTGACATGCTGTTCCATCTCTGCTTTGGAGGAGGAGAGAGGCAATGATGTAGGTTTTCTATCCATGCTAAGTTAAAAAGAAACAGACACACACAAAAAGTTATTTTCTGCATTTTCCTTCTCTTTCTGTTCACATTTTCCTAGGTTTAAATAAAATGAGAAAAAACACTAGATTTTTTAAAAACTAGAGTTGAAAAATAATGGTTAAATCTTTATTATATGCTATAATATAGTACATGATAAATTTCTTAATTTACAGAATATAGAATATATGCTAATTTATTTGGAAGAAATTAGAACGTCAAATTTAAGGAATATTTGACTAATATCCATGTTGGCATGAGTACCTCCTTGTGACACTTCAACCTAGATCTAACAGACACTTATTTCTCCTTAGAGCAGCTATATAAAGAGATGCGCTAAAAAGCTGTACAAAGAGATACACTGCGTAATGCTGTTGTTGTTGTTAAGTGTCATCGAGTTAGTTCCAACATCGGTGACCTTGTATACAATTTCCAAGGCTGTCTATCTTTACGGAAGCAGAAAAATTTATCTTTCTATACAAAGTGACGGGTAGTCTTGAACCAATGACCTTAGAAGCCTAGTGCTTATTGCACAGAGTTACCATGCTCCTCAAAAATGCTACAGATAAATCAAAATGAAATTCTCAACAAATGCTCAGGTAACTGACAGGAAGGCAAACAAAAAATAAAATCTATCAATAGTTACATTAAATATAACTGGTCTAAATATATGAATTAAAACACAGAGATTTCCATACTAGAATAAAAATATGATACAACTACACGCTGTCTGGAGTCCTGGTGTGGCACTGTGGGACAATGTACTGAAATGCAAGTTCAGCAGTTCAAATGCACCAGCCACTCCTTGGAAACTATACAGGGTTGCTATGAGTTGGAACAGACTTGAAGACACCTAACAACAACAACATGCTGTCTGGAGTCCCTAAGTGGTACAAAAAATTAACTTACTCAATTGCTAACTGAAATATTAGAGGTTTGCATTTACCCACAGGTACTACAGAAGGAAGGTAATCTACTTTTGAAAATCAGCTTGGTAACACATTTCTATTCTAACACACATGAAGTTGCTGTGAGTTAATTTCATGCAGTAGCAACTGGTTTTATTTGAATCATGAACTTAAATGTAAAACGATTACATTTCTAGAAAAATCATAGGAGAAAATCTTAAGTATCTAGGGCTAAACAGAGTCCTTAGACTAGGCACCTAAAGAAATGAGTAAGACTCTATTGTTGTTGTTGTTGTTAAGTACCATGGAGTCAGTTCCAACTCATAGTGACCCTGTATAGGGTTTCTGAGGCTACAAATCTTTACAGAAGCAGAAAGCCTATCTTTCTCCCATGGAACAGCTAGTAGTTTCAAACTGCCGACCTTAAGGTTAGCAGCCCAATTCATAACCACTTCACTACCAGAGCGCCTGAAGTATGAAAAAAATGACCTGCAGACTGAGAGAGAGTATTTGCAAACCACATTTCAAACAAAGGACTACTATCTTGAATATATAATATATATATATTTAATCTCAAAATTCAATAGTAAAAATTAAAAGTAAATCAATTAGAATATGAGCAGAAGATATGAACAAATATTTCAGGTGATAAAGCACATGAAAATTGTTCAACATTATTGACCATTGAATAAATACAAGCTAAAATTACAATGAGATATACCTATTAAACAAGTTGTTGAGAGTCAACCCAGACTCATGGCAACCCCATGTATTCACAAATCAATGTTTGATTTTTTTAGAAATAGATCACCAGGCCTTTCTTTTGAGACATCTCTGGGTCGACTCAAACCTGTAACATTTTGGTTAGAAGCTGAATATATTATTGCTTGCATCTCCTGAGGCTTCCATTAAATTATTTATGGTGGTATTGTTAAGTCGCTTTTGACTCATGGTGACCTTGTATTGAGTTTCCGAGGAGCAGCTGGTGGATTTGAACAGCCACTCTTTTGGTTAGAAGTCCAGTGCTTAAAAAGTGGCAAGGATGCAGAGAAACCAGCTCATTCACACATTGTTGGCATGACTGTAAAATAACACTATCTTTTTGGAAAATGTTTGGCAGTTTCTAAAGAGCTAAACATTCAACTACCATACAATTGTACTTCTTATATTATATTCACACAATTGTACTTCTTATATTATATTCACTTATATTCACACAAAACATAATGTTAATAGCAGCTTTATTCATAGAAGCCAAAATCTGTAAACAATCCAGATGTCCTTAATGAACGCATGGCTAAACAAACTGTTGTGTGTAAATACCATGGAATATTACTCAGCAATAAAAAAGAGTGAACTATTTATACACATAATAACTTGAATGACTTCCAGGGAATTATGCTAAAGGAAAACTAATCTAATCTCAAAAGACTATATACAGAAGCCAGGCTTGATGGCAGATTAGGGAAAGGTGCCATGCAGACCTCCACTAGTAATAACACAGAATCCTGAACAAAGCAGGTTCAGGGGATGCTCCCAGAACTCTGAACTACACATAAAGGAACATTTAGAAGTAACGAAGGTTTACTACTGGTAGTATCTGTAGCAGAAGCAAGAAAGGTAGTGTTTTCTGATCTTCAGCTGCTGGCAGGTCCCAGAGTGGCCATCTTGAGCAGGATGGAGTAGGTGCAGGATCAAGGGAGGGCTCCCATCGCAGGGGTCTGGGCGATCCTCAGAGATAAAGGTATGGACTTTCTCTCTCTCTTTCTCTCTCTCTCTCTCTCTCTTTTTTTTCTTTCTTCTCTGTTTATTTGTCTCTCTCTATCTGTGCACTTCTACTAGGGTGACTAGAAGGAGTGTCTGAGCAAGTGAACACCCCTCCAGTTCCCCAAGAGGGGGGTTCTACTATGCATATGCACAGATCTTCTCAGCAAAGACCACTGGGTTCAGAATTAAAGAAGTGGGAGGAATCAACAGAAATAGCTTAAAATGGGAGGGTCTTCCAAAATGGCTCTGGGCAGCCCTGGGTTGTTTCTCACTAGGAGAAACACCTGAACAGGCTTGAAGAGAAGTGAAAGGGACCGATAAAAAAGGAAAGAGGCCAAAAATGAAATATTGAGTTATTTCATAAGGAACAATGGAAACATCTTGAAACTTCTTAGGTGACCTTGAAGGCAAGAAGCTGAAGAGGGGGCATTAAGCTATTACTCAAATTTTGCTATGTTTGTGTGTGTGTGTGTAGTGATTATAGACTTTAGTGTCCAATCTGTTTTTTTTTTTTGTTTTTGTTTGTTTTGGTCTACCTTTTACCTTGGGTGGGGCTTTTTCTCTCCTTACATTATTCAAGAGGAGACAGCAATTGTGATCATATAGCCAAGCTACAATCACACCCTATAAAATCCCACCATCCAGACAAGAGCCAATACCAGCTACTATACACTTGCTAAAATTACTGTGAGTTGAGTAATATGAGAAGTGAAAAGGGAAGCCCATCTCCTGATCATATCTATCAAGAGGCAATCAGAAAGCATAGTAATACACCAACATACATTCATCTGATTGTTGAAAATACATCTAATTATTGAAAATGTCCAAAAAGCAACAGAAAATCTCAGGTCATGTCCAAACACAAGCTAGAGTAGCTGAAACAAATGAGCTGGAAGTAGACCTAGACTTCCCATTGGAAGGAGGGCAGATTTTGAAACTGCCTAAGAATGAATTCAGGAGAATGATATTGAGGTGCATTCAAATGCTCTACAGATGGTTTGAGAAAAATAAGGAAGAAGTCAGAAAAATGCTACAATAACAATTAAATAAGATATAAATAGCATTGGAAATGATTCAAAACCTGCAAAAAGAGGTCCAAACTGTTAATAATAAAATATCAGAAACGGACAATACATTGAAAGGGCAAAGGAGTATAACTGAAGAGATGGAAGCCAGTACCAGTGAGCTTGAAAACAAATCTCTCAATACTGCTAAGATAGAGAGCAAGCAGAAACAAAGAATTTTTTTAAATCTGAAGAAAGTCTAAAATTCATGTGGGACAAAATGAAGAGGAATAACCTGAGGGTTATTGGAGTACTGGAACAGGAAAGATCACAGAAGACAACAGAGGAGATCATTGAAGAGTTACTGGAAGAAAATTTCCCTAACATCCTGAAAAATGAAAAGATATGCATTCAAGAAGCTGAACGAACTCCAGGAAAGATAGCTCCAAAAGAAAATCACTAAGACATATCATAATCAAGTTCTCCAAAATCAAAGATAAAGACAGCATCTTGAAAGCAGCTAGAGAAAAGAGAAATGTAACATACAAACGCAGGCAAATCAGATTAAGCTAAGATTTCTCAGCAGAAACCATACAAGCAAGAAGACAATGGGTAGACATATATAAAACACTAAAAGAAAAAAACTCCCAACCAAGAATCATCTGCCAAGTCAAGCTGTCAATCAAATACGATGGTGTAATCAAAACATTCCAGGATAAACAGAAGCTAAGATACTTTGTTAAAGCCAACCCTTCACTTCAAAACATTCTAAAGGGAGTTCTTTGAACTGAAAACCAACAAAAACAGACAGCAACCAGAGATTGACATACAAGGCAGCACCACCCAGAACACAATTGACAGGTGGAAGAGTCCAGAACAGAACAAAACTACAAGAATGAATTTAGAGGACCTGGGAGGTCAGTCTATAATCAAAACAATTACAATATGAAAGAAAGTAAAGATATAGGAACAGAGATCCAGGTGAGGAGGAGGTCAGGTAGATTACAGGGGATTAAAAGGAGAGGGGGCTAAAAGAATATTGGGTAACCTCAAAGAAAATTAATACTTCCTAACATAAAGAAAATGAAAATCCAAGAATTACATGGAAACATTAAAACTATGAAGAAACTGACAAGAAAGAGCACAAAAATCATGAACTCAGCACAGGAAGGCATGAAGAACAAAGAAACTAGCAGCACCACATACACACACACAAAACACATTATGACTGCAATTAAGTCATACCTATTGATAATTAAACTAAATGATAGTGCACTAAATGCACTAGTTAAGAGTCAGAGAGT